CTGACTCTTTTCTCTTTCTGTGCTCTGAACAAAAGGATCGACAAAATATTTTCAAGAAAAGAAACGATTACTGGCTGTTGCTGGAATGCAGGTGGGCACGTTACAGAAACCAAAACCAGAGTGAGGCAACAAACTAAACCATAAACCCTCAGAAACACAATGACAAGTAAAGATTTCATCACATATTAAAGACTACATTCAGGAGTGAAGACGCACTTCAGAGGATGTGACAGCATTTTTTCTGAAAGTTAGCATCACACAGTGACAGAGTCTTCGCCCATCTACATGAACTTTAATAACAATTAAAGTAAATCTTTGACTAAAAACACACAAATAACCTCCGCGGTGGAAGCATTGCAGTCTCGAGAGGAAAACCCTTCACGAAAATATGTAGAAATGTCTGGAAGGTCTCCTGAACACAGCGCTGAGCCCAGCAGTGAGCAGAGATTAGACTGAAATTTACAGAATTAGGCCTAAAGACAAGACTCAGGTCTAAATGTAACACTAAGGACTAGATGATCTATGTGAGGCCCTCAGCGACCCCAACCTCTCATTTCCAAAACAAAAGACATTTCGTTGTGTGTTAGTTTCAAGGTTTATTTTTTATTAGCAGCCAAAAATCCAATAATCTGACAGGACTAATCCTGATTAGGTTGGAATTTACTGATGATTATTTAGGCCAGAATAACACATAAAGACTTGGCTAAAATCTTTAGACTGGATTAAACATGTAAGAATGAAAATCAGACTAAAGACCAAGTTTGAGACCGAGAACTAATTTTAACATGAATCAGATTAAAAACCTAAGAGTAGATTAAAGATCTCAAACTGGATGTCTGCTGCACACTTTAGTTTCACTCCTGTGTTTGTAGATTTTCTGTGTGTGTGATGTAACAGTCATTGTAAAATTTGTATTATTATTATTACTATCATTATTATCATTATTTCTTAGTGACATTTTTGTTGTTGTTGTTCTTCTTCTTCTTCTTCTTCTTCTTCTTCTTCTTCTTCTTCTTATTATTATTATTATCATTATGTAGTTAAAGACTGGCTCCTCTGATGACCACAGCTCTGAGTTTTGAACCTGTCTCCTAAATCAACCTCTCCAGGCACATAAACACAGGCTGAACCTCGTACTGG